TTCAGGATTGGGACGGGGTGGCGGGTAGTCCTGAAGCAAAGCCCCATCATCCAGAGACCCTCCCCCCCCTCTCCCCCTCGGCCAGCTGTTTGTCCAGGTCCCGCGGCTTGGAGACGCTGATGCCGTTGCCGTCGACGAGTTCAGGTTGTTGGTTGTTGGTCCCGTTTGGCGTAGCTAGTATCATACTGCTGGTGATACAAATCCTGCATTGCCCATAGTAAGGAACATACCATATTTCCAGTAGAATAGGATAATAAAGGGAATGCAGGATTTATATCATCAACCGTATGCATACGCCTGAAGCCCTAACCCTCATAAGCCGCATTTCGCTTAAGCCAGCACCAAGTTTCTAAACACCTCCCCTGTTTATAACACCTCCCCATGATAATTACAGCACCTCGGCAGCATTAGTTTTTTTGTTTTTCGTTGCTGCTACACGCACCACAGTCGTAAGCGAGAAGACAAGCATGGTGCGATCTAAAGTAAAGTCCTTGGCTTCAAGCCGTTGGTAGACCCGGAAAGAAAGGCATACCAATGAAAATGACTGCCTCTGTAGCTGCGTCATTGCACGTCGAAGCCGGTCGTTGCCGACTCGAACTCACGGATGTGGAGCCCTTCCCTGGTTGAAAATCGAGTGCTGTGGCAGGGTTGTACATGATAGGAGCTTTCTGCGCCCTTGGACCCCGACGACGAGATGCTTGGCCAGAGTTGCCCCAAAACCCCGAAGACGAAACCTTCTGGGCAAAGTAAACCGTGGCATTTATGATCCATACAGTGCCCTAAGGTAAAACACTCTGCGTCTCCGAGTGCCGGCTGCATCGAGACCAAGCGCACGCAAGTGCACGCTTTGCTTGCGGGAGTTTTGGAAACGACCACTAGCTTCACTTGCCGCCAGGGCAGGCTTCGAGAAGCACTTGTCTGAAAATCGTAACTGCAACCTTTGTCGCCGAACCAGGAGCGCGGAGATTAAACCCTGCATCAGAAACCCTGGGCCCCGCACCCAGGCCCCAAGACCCTTTAGTACTAGTAGCTGTATCGAACGCCCACAGCTCCAGAGAACGAGACTAATCTACCCCAGACCTCGGCTGAAGCTCCCGAACCGCCCCTCCTACAAAAAGGCAGTTGGTTGCATGAGACTCCAAACTTCCCAACGCTGCTTTGTCACTATGCCTCATTCCAAGCACCCAAAGAAGCCTCAAATCCTACAAAGAGAACCATACCAGACAGATGAAGAGCGAATAAGACCTTAGCGTCAGACCCCAATAAACCGCCTAATGTTTCACCTGCAAGTAGCTCAGTCGATGCGTCTCACCCCCCTGGCCACAATCATGTCGGACATAGCCGCTTCTCCTGCTGCGCATGATACAAAGCGATCCCTCCATTTCCGGCAGGTCCAGTCTCACATCCAGAGAAACCTGAGTCTCAGCACTGGGGTGCTCGGCGGGTGGAGCTCGCAGGCCCAGCAAATGCTATGGGTATGGCTAGCATCTCCCAAGAAGGGCAGCAAGGCCAAAGCGGCTTTGCTGTCCATCAAGGACAAGGCACCGTCCGAGACCGAGGAGGCCGCGAAGATTGAGGATGACAACAAGATCGCTGAGCCCGAGACCGCGAAGATTGAGGATGACAACAAGCTGAGCCCGAGCCTGCGAAGATTGAGGATGACAACAAGATCGCTGAACCCAAGGAAACCGCAGAGAGTGACTCTAGCTACTCCAGCTCTAATTCCGAGGAGTCTGCGCTTGATCACGTTGTAGATACATCCAGGTGGCCCGCCGATTGGCGAGACACTTGGGAATGCGCAATTAGCTTGGCTAATAGCTCAGGCGGCTCTGCCAACAAGCTTCGTGTAGCACAGCGTCTCATGAAGACGATCTTTGCTGCCAAGCAGCAGTGGGATGCATCGAATTAAGGGCATCGGTTTGCGGCACTAGGCCCGTGTTTATAAACACGCCTTCGCGTAGCTTCAACCAAACCTTAAAAGTGAAACCAATCCTGAGTCCGATGCTGCTTCACGTGCTTGTGTCACTCATTGTTCTTGCAGCTACATCACACGATTCGTCACACATGCTCACGTGCATGCACTTTAAGAAGCAGATAAGTGTTTGTAGCTTTCCCCTGGCCCCTTCCTTTCCGACGCTGTCGTCATTATGCAGGAGTGTCTCGCCCAAGCCCAGGGAACCGTGATTGGGGAGGGCAAGTACAATATCTCTGACTTACCGATCATTGAGGTCCATGGCAACGGAAAAAGTTCAAGGAGTTCTTCCGGATTGTGAAGAACGTGAGCGAAGAGGATCTAGAACGCATTCGCCCAGCCATGAATACGAACCCCCATGCCATAGCTCATTTGCCTGATTGCATACGCCCCGGCGGGCGTTGGGTGATGCTTGCTCCTTGCAGATTGATTGCGATTGACACCACCAATAACACAGTGCTCAACTTTCTCCATTCGACGATTGCACTTCCGTGGGGTGTGGTCAAGGTCTTCTGTGGACACGAGCCCATGGTGTTGAATTACAAGATTGCGACCAACTCCGATCTTGTGAGATGCTCCTTTCTTGTTATGCTGTCCCACACTCAAGGTGAACAGTGGCTCACACAGTCACTTGGGCGCAAGCTGACTCGGCCAAGCAAGTCGACTTCCGAAAAGGACCCGGCATCCTGGGACCCAACCCCAGATGAGCTTCGAGAAGGCATTGACTACATCAACAGCAATGCTCCGTTGGCAAATCGTAAGAATGAGCAGTTCTTGTGGGCGTTGTTGAACGTCCGCGACAAGGACCCTCCCATCTTCACGTGGCCCATGCACGTTGTGCGTAAGGCTTGTCAGAATCGCGCGTTGGGTAACTCACAAGCTGAGCCTGAGTTCTTCTTTCCTTTGCTTATTTCAGATCTGAATGCAGCATTTGTGGAGAAGATCCTGCCACTGATTGTTCCCACCATGCCCACACATGGACTCATATTCCTGGGCCGTGCAGGCATTGGGAAAACTCCTTTGGCCATCATCCTTGCCCTCGCCCTGGCAAGACACTTCGTGGCATCTCGCGGTCTCACTGGTGCGGTCGTTGGTTGGAGAAGATCCAAACAGATCGACGGCTTTCGTGAAAGACCCAGTGAACTGTCCGTGCCTGTGCTTTTGGATACCCCATCTTGTCATCTATGAGCCTGGAGGACATCAAGTCTTTCCTTGATGTGGGGGAGACTTGCTTGGTGGACGCGTGCTACCGAGCGGCGAAGTTCCTCAGGAATCAACATCGCATTCTTCTCAACAATGAATGGAAGCCTGACAAGGAGCCGGAGCTGCCGTACTTCGACCAGATCAACTGGCAGCAGTTCTTGTATATGTTCCATTCGTCCATTAAAGCTGGAAGTCCCGATTTCAGTCGGTCAACACATCGGCCTGCGAACAGGTCTTTTCGTGGTTTAGGGGATATGCGAGAGTCTTGAACGAGGCTACCCCAGCATTCAAGGTGCTGTATTTTTGCAAACTCCGCAATCAGGCTGTGGATGCAAAGGATACCTCGTATCTCAACCCCTACAGTAGATCGTGCAAGAAAGGCAAAAAGCCTTACCAGTGTGGATCCAAGAAGAGTGTGGCAAAGAAGCCCGCTGTCAAGAAGGGTGTGGCAAAGAAGCCCGCTGTCAAGCGATGACGGACTGTTCGTGGGGCAAGCTTTCAAAAGATGCTGTCGTGACACGGTGTTCTGTCGTCGCTGCCTCGTTGGTACCTTGTCTTTGACACCAGCCAAGGTATGCAAACTTCGTGCAACTCCTTATTATCACTCAAACCTAGTCAAAAGGAGCAAAACCAAACCCAGGCCCCAGCCGACCGCTCTCTAAGGTTATCCGAAACCTACGTACCCTATCATTGGGTCCTTTGGAACCTTTACTCTACAGGAATCCTTTCTGAAGGACCCCCTCAAAGAACCCATAAAGGAAGCCTTATAGATCATTTACGGAACTCTTTCCAGACCCCTTAAAGGAACCCTTATAGATCCCTTCAAGAAAACTATTATAGAACCGTTACAGATCTATTAGCGGAACCCTTATAGGGCTATAGAGTACCTTCAGGGTTCTCTATGACTGAAGCCCGAGGCTGCTAAATTCCCACATCGGGACCGCACGGTGACAATGGCACACCCCAAGGGCCCTAGGTACTTTTTGGTTTCCATTATGTAAGGGTTTAGGATTTAGGGTTTAGGGTGATGGGGGATACTTTCCCAAGTCAGAATATTCATTCCTATGACAGAAACCCTACATTCTACCATATATAGGTACTTAGGACCCTGTGGGACACAGTTCTCCCAGCGGGAAAGCCGTGCTTGCTCATTGGAGGAGAAAGTTTTGGGCTTAGCTTTTTGCTTTCTGGTTTGGGGTTAGTGCTTGGCATTGGTCAGGTTTGAGGGGGTTTGCACTTTGAGGTAGTTGTCCTGTACTTGGCGTTTGGTGCCGTGTCCGATGTGTTTTTTGTTTTGGCCTCAAGGTTTATTGCTGATGGTCCAAAGTTACCGTTAGACGGCCGAAACAGCGGGCAAGGTCTGAGGCTTCAGAGTGTGGCACCAAGCTGTTGCACGAGGCTCTGCAGAGCGTACGATGTACACCTCTGAGCATTTACTTTGCCGTTGCAGTAGTCTGTAATTGCTGGCAGCATGTCAGTGCAACCCTTTTGCTACAGCCACTTGGGCCGTTACTGTTATTGCCGATGCCACTGTTATCGTGTGTACTTCGACGACGACGAAGAATGCGACTATCGCTACAACCTCGTGGCGCCTCATACCCATATCCTAACAAATTGACGAATCCGATCCTCATCGGCGTGATATTGAAGGCCTTTGTGACTACTCTCAGTATCGTTGCTAAGGCCATTGTATACCGGATCTGCCTTCAATTCGCAATCAGCCATGTTGTGTTGAACTGCAGCGAAGGCGTCCATGTGCACGTTCCCTTATATTCACATTGCTTCTGGCTCGAAGATCACCGTATGTCATAGCAGTTGCAAAGAGATGGCTGCGTCAGGCTCCCTGTGCCGCACCAGTGCCATGTCATGCCTTGCGGCAGATGTGGTGACAGAAGTGGACGGTCATTCTTTGGACAATGGCAGCGTCAAGGAGACGGTCTTGTGCCGTACACAGTGCCTAAGCTTGCGGGACAATGCTAGGGTTTGGTTACCAGTCACTGCCAGAAACCCTAAACCCTAAACCCTAAACCATTTTCAGATGCAACAAACCTGACAGGCTCCTCAGACTATACGTCTAGAGCCCTCCCAGACCTTCCAAAACCCTTTGGTTAAGGAATACTCATAGACCCCATAGTATTTCCTTTTGGGGATTACCTAATAGGACCCTAAATATGAGCTACAAAAAGGAACTACTAATGGGGCCTTTGGGTATACTTTAATTCGTTTTACGGATCCCACTGCAATTTCAGTTTGAGGGATTTTGGGAGGTCTGTTTCGATGGCACATGTTCTGAGGGCTCAAAGGAACCTTCCAAGGAACGAAGTCCTCAGAGACTCCAATATTCCTTAATGAAGGAATATACCTTAAATCGTATTAAGGATCCTACTATAATGTAATTAAGGGATATTGGAGTCTCTGGGTCCTAAGATAATATAGAAGCCTAGAGAATTACCAATATTACTGTTAGGGTTGCTGACAATATTAATACTATAAAGGAGGCCCAACCCTATTCTAATTATTAAGGCCCCTACATTGGGCTCAGAGCCCATGGCCCCGGGGTACGCCAGACGAAGGTATAGTTTGGCGTTAAGGGTTTAGGGCCTGGCGGGTTTAGGGTTCAGGGTTTAGGGTTCAGGGTTCAGGGGTTGGGGTTTAGGGTTAGGGGTTTTCGAACCCATTGATAGTCACAGCGTCCCTGGCCCCACAAGCATGCAGACGATCTTGGCCATGCAGCCGGGAGTTTAGGACTGGAACTCCTTTGCCAAGAGATTCCAAGGCAACATAGTGCTATGACGCATGGAAAGATGACACGGGCACATGCACATATGCATGCATGTTTATAAAAACATATATATATATATATAGAGATACACAGTCACATTCATTCGTTCATCCATTATTTCGTTCATGCTTTCATTCATTCAGTCGCTCATACATAAAACCCTGAATGCATACAGAAATACATACATACATACATACATACATACATACAGACATACATACATACCTACAGACATACATACATACATACATACATACATACATAAAGACAGACATACTACAGACATGCATACGTGCATACATACGTACGTACATACGTACATACGCACATACATACATACATACATACATACATACATACGTACATACACACATACATACAGTACATGCATTACAAATTGTATTGCGCTTTTGTCATGCTATGGTGAAGGAGGCCATCGTATTCGGCAAGATTATAGGGACTGTTCTGTTCTGTTATATCATGTTATATTACAGTAATCTGCTTTTCGGTGTTGCAATTGCTATTATTGTTGCCATGCCTACTGCGATTTTTACTGCTATTGCTATTGCTATTGTTACTGCTCTTGCTACTGCTACTGCTTCTGCTATTGCTATTTCTGTTGCCGTTGGTATAGATTCTGTTACCTAAACCCTAAACCCCTAAGCCCTAAACAAAACCCTAAACCTTAGAGAAGTAGGGAGCCCTGGAGGATATGATTCGAGAGCACCATGCAGCTCTGATGCGCGAGCTGTCGAAGCAGCAGGAAATGCTGTACAGCTTGCAATGCTGGAGCCAGGACAGGTTAAGGGTCTAGGGAATGCTGGAGCCAGGACCTAGAACCGAACCCCCAAACCCTTCCTAAAGCGAACCCTGAGGTGTATGGTCGCGATTGCACACTGTTGCGTCTACAATTCCGGCTTTCAGACACTTCGTCTAGGTCCATGGTTCTAAACCCTATAGACCCTAAACCCTAGACCTTTCAAACCCTAAACCCTAATCCCTCGATCCTAAGCCCTAGACCCTAACCGAATAACAGGTGAACAACACCGAAAGCCTAGCCGTACGTGAGCTTGGAGATGCCACCATGTGCCGGTAAGGGTTTAGGGGTTTAGGGTTTAGGGCTTAGGGTCTCAAGTGCCTCCCATGTGGGTGTGTGTCGGTCCGCACACCGACCTATCTCTCTGTGGAGCGATCGATCTTTCTAATTTCTATCCTTTAGCATCAACACAGCCCCAAAAGCCTTATATTATAGGTGCTTTGGGCCCAAAGCCTTAACATATGAGTCCTTTGAGGGTAAGGGTATCTCTTTAATCCATCCATCCCCTGATCGTTGCAGCGTGACATCCCAGGCTTTCGCCCTGGCCCCAAACCCTGAATTACATAGAAGTACATATGGCTGTGCATGCGCATGTATATGTCTTTGTACATGTGTCTATATATATATATATAATATGCGTGTATACATATAAATATATATATATATATATATATAGATTTTTACATACATATATATACTCTCCAAGCAACAACCCGAGCCGTACGATTATATCTGCTTCGTGTATACATACGCACGTATACGTATAAATATGTGTATGTATGTATATATATATATATATGCAAAGACATATTAGCATACATACGTACATATATACCTACATGGTTGTGTGCCTGGAGACATTCGAAGCGAGGACTTTTCCCATCGCCAGATGCCTGCGCCGCCTGCGCCGCCTGGCCACCTGGCATCCACAGCAATGCCGGCACCTTGGGTCGCAAGCCCCAGCCCCTGACGGTTTACCGATCTATATACAGATATACGTAAAGATAGAAGTATGTAGGTGTGTATGTATGTATGCATGTATGTATGTATGCTGTATACATATACAGATATGCACATACTTACAGGCATACATGCACACACATTGCAGTACAGGACAGTGCAGTATAGTACAATACTGTACAGTACAGTACCGTGCTGTCCTGTAATACAGTAAAGTACAGTAAGGTACAGTCCGTTACAGTACACACACTTCGATATAGATTTTGATACTGATACCGGTATACGTATAAATATAGGTATAGGTGTAGATATAGACATAGAGATAAGCAGTCAAACGATTGTATACCCCCCAGGCCAGAGTCTATTTTGGCAAGGAACAGGGGGTTTGCAGTCCCTAAACCCTAAACCCTAAACCCTAAACCCTAAACCCTAAACTTAGGTTTTGGGGGATGATGTGGTCGCAAGCCCCAAGCCCTTGAATCGAAGGGTTGCAGTAAAGGGCTTATAAGGCTGTAGGGGTTTATGCACCTGGCATCGTCTGAAACCCTGATACACCATTCCCAAGGTACCGCTCATACAGTACTTTGGTTGTGGATACTAGGATGTTCAGTAGTATCCTGTTTCACTTTTTCGGGGTACTGCTTCCTAATATGGTAATTCTAACGCAGTTGGTTACTGAACAGCTTAGGATAGTAGTTCTCTAGGTTATTATTTGGGGAGATTCTTCCTGTCCTCCCTCCACTGCTAACCTACAGCCTTAGACCCGAAACTCTGCACTCGACTCTACCCCCTTTACCCTCCCCTCTATATCCCCGGCCCTTACCCTTACCCTCTAAGGACTCATATTTTAAGGCTTTTGATATTATATAAGGCTTTTGGGCTACCTTGATGCTAAGGGTTAAACACTGGGTCCTTTGCACCCCAAGCGTCCGGCCCAAACCCTCCAAACTCCATACACCGGTTCAAAGGCTGAACCTTGAACCCTCAACCCTCAACCCGTAAACCTTAAATTAAATCCTCCACTACAGACGTAGAACTTATATAAGCCCCGAAACCCGCCAAGAAGCGCTGTGCATTGTGTGTCTTGGTGAAACTCCCCACCGAGTTTTATAAGCCCCACACCTAAACCCTAAACCCTAAAACCCTAAACCCTAAAACCCTAAACCCTAAACCCCTAAACCCTAAACCCTAAACCTCAGAGCCCTAAACCCTAAACCCTAAGACTCTAAGACCTAAACCCTAAACCCTAAACCCCTAAACCCCTAAACCCTAAACCCTGCAACCCGAAGCCTTGGGAGCCCTTGTCCCCGAAGCTCTAAACCCTAGCATTGAACCCCTGACTTGAAGCCCCCAATTTTATGCCTAGCCAATTCTGGGGTTTGGGGTGTAGGGACGGTTCAGGGTTTAGGGTTAATAGCACCATAAACCTCATCACAACTCTATCCCCCCCGTCCAAAAATCACCCGAAGCACCTCCAGCTAACGAGAATAACAGCCCAAACCCAGCAAGCCACCACAGCGGCCCAACTACCTCCAAAGTACCCCCAAAGCAACACCAAAGTAATCTCAGACCACCAGTCGCTGACCCTAAATCCTATGCCCCATAACCAAAGCCCAAAACCCCAAACCCTAAACCCCCGAACCCCTAACTTACATCCCTAAACCCTTAACCTCAAAAGCCTAAACTCTAAACCACACATCCCTGACCCCTAAACAACTAAGTCCCTGAACCCTTACACCTAAACCCCTACAGCCCTAAAGCCCTAAACCCAAAACCCCTGAAGCCCTAAACCCTACCTTAACCCCAAAAGCCTACCTTTCTAATGACTTTTATAAAGAAAGCATGATAAGGAGCCCTAAAGGGGTAGGTTCTTTAGGGTTCGGGTAAACCCTAAATCCCAGACTTTTGCCTCAGCCGGTAGCATCGCAGCCCAGGCCCCTCCTCACTGCGAGAGCCCACCGATGCCCCAGGCTTCCTTTCAGGATTTAGAGTTTAGGGTTTAGGGTTTAGGGTTTAGGGTTTAGGGTTTAGGGCTTAGGATTTAGAGTTCAGGGTTTAGGGTTTGGTTTAGGGTTTCGGGTTTATTTGGTTTCGGATTTGGGGTTGCGGGTTTAGGGTTTGGGGTTGAGGGTTTAGGGTTCAGGGTTCAGGGTTTCGGATTTTGGGTTGGGGGTTTAGGGTTTCGGGTTTGGGGTTTAGGTTTTTGGGTTTAGGGTTTCGGGTTTGGGGTTCAGGGTTCAGGGTACTTTGGGCCCATTAAGGGCGGCGCTACCGTGGCAGAAGAGAAGCGCCCCATGAGGCGTCAGTTCGACAGAGAGGTCGAAAGAACGGCATGGTTGTCAAGTTCGCCTTCTGACTTTGGAACCCGATTCGGAGAAGGCGAAGCTGGAAGCGCAATTTAGTTTAAGGCGAAAAAATGGAGCCTGGAGTTGGAGCACGATTCGGAGAAGGCGAAACCGGTTTGTACAACCCATCCAAGCTCCCGGGCTCCACGCATTTCAGACGTCGATCGCGGCGCGGCCTTTGCGGAGGAACTAAAGCTCCGGGCATCCTGCGAACTTTTGAAATCTCAAGACTTTCCGGATCTGGAGCGTACGAATGCAGGCTTCAGCCGCGCCGTGAAGAAGCTCTTGCTGTTCGTGAACAAGATCCGGACCGAGTGGCCCACACATGCCCTTTGCAATGACTGTGGTTTGGGTTCTTGAGCCCGTTGAAAGTACATCGAGGTGCCATCTGGCAAGGGAAACGAAGCCAACGCCTTTGGAGGTGATGCCAGAGTTTCAGAAGGACCCTGCATCAGGGTCAGAGCTCTCCAAGACGAAAAAGCGCAACAAATGTGACAGAGGAACACGTCGTGAGGCAGGTGGACTGCCGACACGTCAGTAGTCAGATGAAGTTTGGTTCTCAATAGTTTCAGGCAGTCACTTTCTATTGGCTAGAGGTAGAGTTTTGCTTTGCGACATTCGGTTTGTTCACATGCCAGCAACAGAGGGAGAAAGTCTTCCCTACCCCAGACTCGCTGCAGTCGGTCTTGTGTTTCTAGGTGCAGGGCTTTCTCCCCCAAGCGTCTTCATACGGTTTTGATCTGCACGTTGGATGGTTCGTCCACCACTGACCCTACCAACAAGTGCCGGCGTGTTCATTTTGATTCACCAGCCTGCACTTAGGCCCTAAACCCTAAACCCTAAACCCTAAACCCTAAGCCCTAAACCCTTGCACCCCGTTGGCCGGGCATGGGGTCGCAGCGTGGATCGAGGACTTGAGGCCAACCACTAGAGCAGGCACCTGTGTCACTCTGCAAGTGGGAGGCCCAATTCAATTAAAAGGCATTCTATAGTGGCGTGGTGAGTGCATTGCTGGTTTGGGGCTTCGGGTTTGGGGTTTAGGGTTTCGGGTTTCGGGTTTGGGGTTTCGGGTTTAGGGTCTAGGGTTTCGGGTTTAACGTTTAGTGGAAGGGCTTATAGTTAAAATATGGTGTTGGTGTTTCCTTTATGGGCTCATAAGGGCTAAATGCGAGGTGGTACATCTTCTTTGTTACGTTGGGCCGTTACTAAATACATCTATGGTACTTGTCTATTACTTTTTCCACTAACAATACAAGCATTAGGAACAAACTTACTACCATTGCTAGGACTGTTACTATTTCGAGTGTTATGGCTATTGCTACTAGTTTTACTATTGCCTGTACCATGATTGTTAAGATTATCGTCCGTTATTGTTCTCAGTATCGTGATCATTGTCACACCTGACCTTTCCACATTTCTACAACACCTGTACCAGTTCTCACAAATGTTCTTACTTTCAATATTCCTACTCTTGGCGTTGTTCTATTGTTGTGCTGCTCGGTTGAGATGGTTTAGGGTTTAGGGCTTTAGGGTTTACGGTTTAGGGTTTTGTGAGTTCTTCTTTGCTTGTTCTCCCTTGTCTAGCACGTGAAGTGAGCATGTTCAATACTTATCGCCTCTCCGGTCTTGGGGCTTTCGCATTTCACCCTAAACCCTAAACCCTGGACCCTAAACCCTAGACCCTAAACCCTAAACCCTAAACCCCGTAAAATTTCAGGCTGTAGGGCATGCCCATTTAGTTTGGGATTTCATTGCCTTCGGGCGTTTGGCTTTAGACCGTTACGCCTTCGGGATTCAGACTTTCTACCAACCCTTACCCGTAAGCCCGAAACCGAAAGCATCAAGAGCTGCACCCCGAAACCCTGCACTTTGAGGATAACCTGGGTTTCGTCCTCTCGGGCCGTTCGTGTGCAGTGTTCCGAGAAGCTCAAGTTTCAGTAGGGGGCTTCGGGAGAGATGATATTGCTAGTGTTGCCTATTGTTGTTTTTCTTGTATTTAACTTTAACAGAAAGCTGTTTTTACTATTCCTAATACGAAAATATCAGCCGTCCTTATGTTGGAACCCGTATGAAGGAACCCGGCAAGGGCCCTTAATGGTAAGGAGCAGGGAGTTCACTACCTTCCCCACACCCTGGACCCTAAACCTGAAAGCCTGAATCCTACGCTCTCAGGGATTATAGTTCTAACATCAAGAGCAATGAAAAACTAATAAACCCCGAAGCCTTTACGGTGTATAGCCCTAAGCCCTAAGACCTTAAGGAGTATAACCCTCAGCCAATACTGCCCGATATCCCTTGATAACCTATATGCTTCAGGGATTTAAGTATAGCCTTAAACATCCCTACGCCCTTGGAGTTTGTGCTGGTTTAGGGTTTAGGTTTCAGAGCTTATGGTTTAGGGTTTAATGACTAACCGGTTTCCTAGCTAAGACGACCTTCCCCAGGCAGCCAAGCAGCACTCTGTGGCCAGCAACCTGGGTTCTCCTAGTCCTTCGGCCCGTGTTTAAGGGTTTAGGATCTAGGGTTCAAGGTTTAAGGCTTAGAGTGCAGGGTTCCCTTAGTGGGTTCTTTTAAGGGCTCGATACCGGTTCGTTTCAAGGTTTCTTTGCGGGTTCTGGAAGCTTCTAAGTTTAGAAGTGTTACTACCACAGACACATTTTACTTAAGTGCCTTCGTTTACTACGACCACGACTACGACTACGGCATACAACAACAACAACAACAACAACAACAACAACGACAACACCAGCAGCAGCAGCAGCAACAACAACAACAACTACTACTACTACTGCTGCTGCTGCTGCTGCTGCTGCTACTACTACTACTACAACTGCTACTACTTCTACTACTACTACTACTACTACTACTACTACTACTACTGCTCCTACTCCCACCACCACCACCACCACCACCACCACCAGCACCAGCACCAGCACCAGCACCAGCACCAGCACCAGCACCAGCACCAGCACGACCACTAACAGAACGACGACTACGACTACGCTACAACTAC